AAGTACCAAGAAAGTAGGAGCGTCCAATGAATAAGAGATCAGATTCAAAGTTACACGATCATACATTAAAAATATAAATGCGATCAAGATTGACAAGATAGCTTGTGAAGCTCTTACGGTGAGAAAATGGTGACATCAATAGAAAACTGTTTTGAAAATCTTTAGCTGAAACATAACCCTAAGCGAAAGAACAGATTTGGAATTACATGATCGCTTGCTAACATGAAATATACAATAAGGAGGGACAAGATCAGTTGAAAATGGAATTATATCCAAATTCAAACGATCAAATTAGCTTTGAGTAATGTGTCACACAGAGGTATCGACTAAGAAGTAAAACTCTGTAGACCAGATCGAGTTCTCCACGATCACTTGAGGGGCTTACATAATAGAAAAATTACTTGGATCAGTTATTGAAATGGCATAACGATAGACAACGCTAAATTAGTTGAGAGCAGCGAAAAACGTCTAGAAATAATGGACGATTTGCTAACCTGAAATAAGTGATCATGATGGCTAAGATCACTTAGGGAAGTTAAGTGACTGGTTAGAAAACTTAATTGGAAAATTTATCGGACTTCAATGTGTCGGAGGTATAAGATCGATTGCTAATAGCAATGGGCGGCTAGGAGCGAAAATATCATTTAGAAATGTATACACGATCACCTGAAGGTGATCAACAAGATCATTTTCGGACTGTAAGCACATTATTTAAAAAATTAGTAAGTAAACTGGCACTAGGGCAAAAGAGCTGATTGCTTAAAGCAACTTGTCAAAGTTGTTGCTGAATTTGGTGGCATTTTCAGCATCAAAAGCAATACAATTTCAATATTTGAGATTAAACACTTTTTAAGACAGGATTTTTAAAGCAACTCAAATTCAAGCATAGAAAGTTAAGCTCAATTTAGCGCTTATCAATACTGCTTTGCAAAGCAGCACGAAGACTACACCTTTACCACTTAAAATCCCCAAAACTTCAGATCACAAAACCTTTCACACATCTCCCCTGGCTGCTTACGTGTGGTCGTGGCGGCAGGTTGACAGCAAACAGCGCTACAGCATGCTGCTAAATATTTTCAAGTGCGATTGATGTGCAACATGCCGGTTTTTTGTTTCTGCACTCGCTTTTGTAGATGCTTTTTGTGAAGGACAAAACAATTTTATCGCTTTGAATAATCAAAGGAATTTAAATTGCAACAAAGCGAGCGGCAGGAACAGCAAAAAAGGAGCTACATACCTAGTGAATGACTGCCTGATGGCGGCAGGGAATCGAAGAATATGCGTCTGTGGCAGCAGCCGCAAAAAAAAATACCAAAAAAACGCAAACAGCCAAGCAGATGCGACATTATTGGCATGCAACAAGCAAGCGATGCGAAGAAAAAAGTACAACTTTGCAGGCGATAAGCGGCGGCAGGTTGACAGGAGAAGAATAGCAACAAGGCCATGGCGGTGGGTGGGAGGAAGAGCGTGCGCGCGTGCAAAAAGGGAGAGCAGCAAAGTGTAAAGTGAAAAAAGAAAACGATTACCAAGCGAAACTAGAGGCCAAGCCGGCAGGCGTGTTGGGTGCTGTGTAGAGAATGTAGAGATGTCCGACAATCATAGCAATACATAGCGGCAGATAGACAGACACATAGACAAGAGGTGGCAGGCGACCGCAGAAGGCGCGCTAAACTTTTGGTTCATTTTGTGACTGGCAATAAAAATTCAACAGTCGTGGTCACAGCAAACAAAAAACAACAAAGGTAAAAAGAAGTGTACAAGATGGATTACACGATGGCAAACACGATCGTTGATTTTTGTGGAATAATAGCTGACCAGAGTTGCAAACAACTAAAAAAAACAAGCAAGCATGTAAAGCGTAGACAAATCTCAACAAGGAGCTTCAAATATGCAACTAGACAGGCTGGCAAGGATGTTGTGGTAGTAGCAGCAGCAACAGTGATTGTTGCCAGGCAGCAGGCACAATGAATAAAATTCAATCGCTTGGAAAAAAATGCATACAAACTCGATAGTTGCGCGAGTTATTTCTGCGATTCCGCACGCCAACTACCAGCCATCAGCCAGTCAGCCAACCAACCAACACCAGGCTCAGAGCAACAATCAGCTAGAGCAGCCACCGAGCAGCAGCGCGTGCAACATTGAAATGTTGCGTGGTGTTGCAAAAGCAGACAATGCAACGAACAGCAATGGGAGGTAAAGCAGGCAGGCAGGCAGGCAGGCAAGCAATGAGACAGTCATCGAAACAGGCAGCAAGGCAGGCAGACATTCAGACACGACAGACATCAGGCATCCAGCCAGTTAACCAGTCACAGCGCGCACAGAAAAATCGTGATTCGGCGGCGCTTTTTAATGGCTGCTGCCATCAAGCAAACCAGCCAGCAACAACAAGCGCAACAAACAACACTGACTGGATTAAAATATTTGCAACAATTTAACGAGTGGCAGCAAACAGACCAACTGCTGCCGACGAGTGCTGCTACACGTCAAAGTAATTGCTAAAGTTGCAGGCGGTGGCGAAGAAGCCGGCGGGGGAGCGGAACGAACGATGCAGCAGAAGATGGAGTATTGGCTGTTGGTAAATTAATTGTAGCTAAAATTAAATTAAATCCAACTAAATGGCGAATTAGTCGTGAAAAAACGATGATACTTTGGAGCAGAAATAAAAAATAAGAGCAAGAGACACAATGAGGCACGGCAAGCAAATACTCGTATCTAGCATGGCAAACGCAAAGAGTAGCAGGAGGCGCACTTCCGTTCTGTGGCAGTCACAAATGCATGGCGACATAAAAAGCGAAGAAAAAAGCAACGCTACAAAGCATAAAATAAAGTGCAACGCATTTTCAAGGTTTTCAAAAGCAAACACAAAAACAAAAAACACATGATAAAAATAAAGGACAAAAAGAAAATATGCCACGCCAAGTGCGCTGCAGTTAAGCTACTAAAGCAGCGTGTGCGGTGACAGCTTGGAATGGGGGATAAGCTTGCGTTGGGCTAAATAACTACTCGTATTTGATATAAAAACAATATAAAAGTAAATGTGAAAAAAGAACAGACACAAAAGCTGATATTTAAAACCACTCAATATGCCGGAAATCTGGGCAAAAACAATACCTTCTAGAACAACAACAGCGGCGGCTGTGGTAAAAATGTTAGTCGCAAGACAAACCAAAAGGGGTTTTATGCGACAACAGCAGCGAAAATTGAGTCACAGATACAGAGGCAGAGAGACCATGAGGGGATTGTTGGCAAGATGATGCGCAAGTGGCAGACGTTTAGGTTTTAGAAGCATAAGCAGCAAACACACCTAAGTACATATGTATGTACCTACATGTAGTACATATATACAAGTATTTACCAACCGACACTGCTGCCCAAAAAGGATATCAAATGACGCGCACAGCACATAAGGTAAGGCGTAGCGAAATGTAAAAAGTAGAAACTTTGGAAAAAATGACAGCAAACGGGCAAAAATGTGATGATCCTGCTTGCTGTCTGCCAGCCAGTCAGCCAGCTAACCAGCCAGTGAAGCTATGACGATCATAATAACTTTTGCCGTTTGAGTTGCGACAGGATGCGCGCACAACACCGAAATAAAGGATGACACAAACAGGATATTAATAATATTTTTTTAAGAGTTGAGGCAAAGGAAGCAATTATATGGTTATATGCGTATAAAAATTTAAGCGATCATGCGGCGTTTTCAAGTGCTACGCGTTCAAGGAAGCGCCATGAATTCGAAACGAATGCTATGGTTAAAGGAAGTGAGCTAAATTGATTGGCATTTGTAAGGGTAGCAGGAGTAATTTGAAATTAGAAAGGTAATGTGATCACATTTATTATGTGAAATAGAGGTAGACACTAGAGCCGGCAAGATCAGTAGGGAAAATTACATGAACAGTCAAAAAGTGAGCAGAAAAAAGCGCTTCCTTAGTTTAATGTTGAATAAAATTAATAGTTGAGAATTTAGGATTTGCAAGATCGCCTTAGAAAATTTTTTATTAAAAAAAAAATACATAAACATTTGCAAAATTAATTAAAAATAAATTTAGTTTTGAGCACAAAAGAAAATTTGAAAAATTGAACGCACTTGCTTACTTTGAATACGCGTTCTCGATCGCAAGATCACTTAAGAGATCTTTATGAAAGAAAAAAAAATAACAAAAATCTGCTTGGAAATATTTGGGGAGAACGCCGCTTAAATTTAACTTTAAATAAAAATTACGATTTTAAATCATAAAAACGCTTACTGTATTACATGTTTTTTCAGGATCGGGTTAGAAATTTTTTTATGAAAAAAATACATAAGCAGTTGGAAGATTGATAAATGTTTTTGAGCATAGAAGAAAATAACAAATTTTCGAATGAATTTTATAAGCAATTTTGTTTCAAATCTCGAAGATCAGCTATTAATTGGAGGACCATATGCATTATAACATCTATAAGAATATTTGAGCAACTTATAGTAGGAAAAAATTGAATGATCTGTTCAACATATGTTAGCAAAACCCACTGTCTCACTTTGGTTTTAAAAAATGTCTCAAGAATTGCAATTTTACTATTACTTGCTATCAAAGGGATGACCAAGATGGGAATTTTTTCTCTTGTATGACAAGATCACTACAGCCTATAAACAAACAATTGCCTGATCAGTTAAAAAATTGGCTGCACCACGCGGTGCCTCAACTTGCTTTTAAATAGAGGCGACATTTTTAGATATCATACTATGCATAAGGCGACAAGATCACTTCCGATGCTTACACAAAAAAATAAATAAAATAATAAACTGTCAAGATCCACAAAATTTCCTTCACGTGAACTTTTCACAGCGGAAAACTATAAATCTTCAGCAAAATCATTTCACTCAATAAAATCTCACATAACATTTTCACTTTCCGGTGAGTGATCGTGCTTTTCCTTTTGTTTTCTAATCTCAGCAATAAACCTCCATTAACATATCGAATATTTCAACTAATAATATTACATATTTAACAAAAACTTACTGTTTGAGCGCGTATTGGCGCTGTTATTTGTGTCATGCAACGCCTCGACGATCAATGTGAACGTGCCCTGTAAGAGAAAAATAAAAAATAATTAATTAATAGAGAACAAAAGAAATATGATACTTCTTAATTAGATGCAATAAATGAGTACATAGTAATCGGACTTAATTTTAGTGCTTAAAAAATATATCTTACAAAATATTTTCGTCGATCGTACGGCATTCAATTATGGAGACCACTGATGATTATCTATCACAAAAACGTGAATTTAGTTTAACAGTGAATTAAAAAAAAAACAATCAATATAAAGCTTAGATTATCAAAGCGAGCTTGAGCTGATTCTCGTTGATCACACAAAAGTGGAGAAAATGGGGTTTATATCAACTTAACTTACGATCAGCAGCAAGCAATACACTTCTGGGCAGCCGATGATTTCCATAACATGAAAACAACTAATCATATATCATTGATCATTTTAGATCACTTCAGATGTTGTCAAAGAACTAAAACTGCAAAGAAACTGCAATTTAAAAAAAAATTAAATAGGAGCCCCAACACTTCCTAAGTTTCAAGTTTTCCGTTTTGACTTTGCTCGTATATTTTTAAACGAAAGAATGCATTAATCACGTGATGATCGCTCATGATATAAGCACTGATTAGTGAAGATCCTCAAAACAGACCAGCTATAAAATTTAAAGCAATCGCACAGCCTTCACGTTGCTCTAAATACAACTACAACGCAAGTATGTATTTGAACTTTCAAAACTTCTCAAAGCCATGATGATGAAAAGAATAAAATGTTAAACGAAAATCACTGATCGCATGTAACAACATAAAAATACTGCTATACAGCATTTAAACATGAAACCATGTCAAGCGGATGTAATATTGAGGTGTTGATCGCTTTTAACGATAAAACAAGCGATGAATAAAAACGATCGTGCGCAAGCGCCATGAGCACGATCAACAATTTTTATCAGCAGAGAATTTCCGTTCAACAGATGCAGAGAAAAGAAAAACCAAAAAAAAAACGAAACAAATAGCAGCAAAAAGAAATTTTTCGGCTGCAAAGACGGTGCAAGTAAATGATGATCCTCGAAGTGAAGATCATTTGATTTGAAGTGATGATCATGGTGAACAAAGAAAACATTATCCATGAATTAAAAGTGCATAAAGCACAGAGTGCAATGGAAATACAAGCGTACAGCAATGGATGTAAAAACCATCGGTTTCACTAGTAAAAAAAAAAAACCCCAGAGCCACTAATGAAAAAAATGCAAATTTGAATTAGTGACAAATTAATAAATTGTGATAATCACAAGATTATGTATTTGGTGGGGAAAAAACTGACCAACGACACACACACACGGACGAGGCTGCTGAGTTTGAAAGTGAAAAAGCGCTGCAAAGCGTTATGAAAAATGGACGCCTACACGGCGTAGCTAATATAAAACCAGATAAAAAATTAAAAAAAGAAGAAATATAGGCAAACTGAAATACACGTAGAAAAGCAAACTTGCTGCGGTGGCACGCTGGCGTGGTTAGGCTGAACGACTGTAGAGCCGCTTAACTGCTGCAGCGCATTGGTGTTGCTTAGGCTGGCGTGGCTTGCTTGGTTAGTTAGTTGCTCGCCGTATATGTATGTTTATGAATAATGCAATCAAGTAGCGCTAAATGCATAAGTAACGGTCTGCAGCAAACGAGTAAGCGCGCGCGAACAGCGGATGGTGCGCATGCGCAACAGTTACATGCATTTGAAATGCAAATATGCGCGCGCCACAAATAGCAACTGTGGGTATACTCCTAGTAGTGATGGTGGCAATGGTTAGCGCTGCTGGTACATAGTGGTAGTAGTGGAGCGTGGCCAAGTGTGGATGAGCGCATGTGTGTATGCTGCTCTTTTGCGCCAAAGCGCCCTCAATTCCCGCAACAACAAAGAAATGAATTTGTAGAAAAATTTTAGAAAAAAAATATGAATGCCTGACTGGTTGAGCTAGAAATATATATTTTTTTACAGCTTTATTTTGCTATTTAATGTCATATGAAGCCACTAAAAGCAACTGAGTAAAAAAATGCAGAGGATGATGCGCCGACGCCTTGGCTATCCATTTGGCCAATGATTATTGCGGCTTAAGAGTTTGCTTTCGATTTTCGAAATCTTAAACAGGTTGTGCGCGACGGTAAATATTTGTTTTTACAATATTTGAATAAGAAAAAAAAATTGCGCGTGGGTGTGCAGCGCTTCCTACATTGATAAGGCACCGCGCGATTAATGTAAAATTTGAATATTTATTAATCAATGCAGTCTTCGACGCGTGCTTTTCACAAATGGACGGCAAACTAGCTTAAGTTTTTTATTTACATACAAGCAAGTTTTGTTACAGAAATACATATTTTTATATTTTTTGTATACGCTAATTTCTGTAGCCATATTTTTCTTCCGATAGACGTGGGCTGTCGGAAATGTTACGCTGTACTGCAGTTAAGTCATTTCATGTCTGGCATGCGATTCAGTTTCGAGAGAAGGGTCAAAAAATATGCCGAAATATTGATAATTAAAAAATAATAATAATCGCCTTTGTAAAATTTTAGTTGAGGTAGCAAGCATTCAAGCGCAAAAAAACATTGAAATACCAGCGTTCGAGCAATTTGAATGCGCTTGCGCGGCGGTGAATGGATGCACCAATAATACAATACAAGCACCACGCGGCGGCAAACAACTGGGCGCGCTGAAGAGGAAATTATTGCAAGTCACAAATCAAAAATCGGCAGCATACGAAACATTTCGGAAGAAGAAGAAACACGCTACGCAAGTGCAAATGCTGTGTGTATGTGGAAAAGTGAATTGAATTGCAAACGAGCGCGCGCAAAAAAATGAAATTAATATAAACGAAAAACAAAATCAACAAATATTGAAAATACATAAATATTGCAATAAATTGTGCATTGGCAAAAATATTGTATTATTGGCAGACGCTGGCGAAAAAAATCAAAGCCAAAAAAACAGTAGGCGAATCATAAGATATATGGGCACGGCAGGAAGCAAATCAGACGACACACAGCGCGCTGCGAGCGCAAGTTGCAGCAACAGCACACAAAAGTGGCGCGGCGAAAAGAAAGCAAGCGGGTGGCACGGAGTTCGCGTTAGCGCTCCTCAAAAACTCCATACCATAAAAGGAGCGCGCGCATTTTAGGTGACAGCCAACAGCCGCAGTGGCAAAAGCAATATGTGGCGTGGCGGATTATGTTGCAAAGATGTTGCCACTGATCGCGTCAAAAACGCGTCGTCCGTCGTGAGAGGTGGCAGCAGTCAGGCAAATCGCAGGCATACGATCAGCAGTGGCAGTGGCACGATCACTCAGCTCGAAACACACTTGTACACACATGCATGAGTATGCAACTACATTGAGTGCGCTCAACAACAAAGATTGTGGCAGAGGTGTTAGCACTGGTCGCTAGCCAAACAGGGTGCCACCAGCCAGCCATTCAAGCTCGTCAACAATAGCGGCAGCGATCATTTTCCTAGCGCGGCGTCACAGCACAAGCGCTAAACCAAAATTGCATTAATAAATTTTCAACGTCATTGTTTTTTTTTTCATTTTTGTAACCATTTTCATTTGTTGCCGCCTATAAATTGTTACCACTTTGCTCATCGTATTTTATCCAGGGGTTGGCCCACAGTCGCCGCCGCTTGCCATAATAGCGATATTTTTTTAATGAAGAATGAAGAAGTTGCAGCGCAGCATCATATAGTCAACTAGAGTCTTCAACAATCAAATACGCTAAAAATATGTTTGCATTGTCCACGCGTGTTGCGCGCCTCTGTATGCAACAAGGCAATGCCTGATCGCGTGCAACATGGGGCAGCAGACAAAAGTTGCACAAATATGTATGTAGACATCAGCAGACAGCGCCGACACAAGTCATTTGAACGTGAAAGAGTATGCATTTTTGTTGCATGTTGCGCGCCTAAGATTAAAGTTCAATTTCAGCAGCAACACCCTTTGTCAGCGCGGATCCCAAAGTTTTCACTCCCTACAGCAGCTAAGCAAATAAAACTATGTGATATTCGTTGCAACGCTGACGACATCTATTTTTAGGCGTCTACTGGCACGAACATACTTACTTACATACAAGTAGGCGTGCTATTCGGTAGTGCCGGTGGTAGTTAGGGCTCTTGCACCGCTCCAGTCTGATCAGGCAAAATGGAATGCAAGCTGACTGGAAGGTGGGGAAGCCGGGAGGGCGTGCGCGCATTGCTACTTCATGGGTCTTCACCATTTGTAGCTGTCAGGCTGCTTGCTGTCTGTCAGTTGGGCGCTGGTGACACAGACGCCACAAAAGTGGGGCGCAAAAGGGATATTTTAAATTGAAAATATCTTTGTTAGCGAAATTTATATTTAGCGCTTTGTGCAGCTTACTTGTTGTTGGGTGCTAAGAAATACTTTTCATTAACATTTATTTATCGCAGACGTTTAGGGGCTTGCTTTTGCGCCAGCCGCAATGACCCAGAAATTTGGAAAAGGAAAATGGAATTTGAACTGCTGTGGTGGCAGGAAAGGGAGAAATCTGATGTGTTTAGATTTTTTTTTGTTCGTAAGTATTTCTAATTGCTTTCTTTAAATAATTTATACATAACTATTTTTTCAAATTCTTCACTAAAATTTCTCATTCTAACTGGCGGTTTCACCAGCAATTCAGGTGAAAAATCATTTTTCACTTAAATTTCGTTCGCAAAACTAGCTTTTAGTATTTTTAACTTTTTTTAATCAATTTTAATAATTTTTCAATGTGTATACTTTTTTGTAAACTTATAAACTTTTGTTAATATTTTTCTATTTTTGTTTCTATAGTTTGACGTTATTTCACTTTATTTAATTTGTATTGTTTTTTAAATTTTAAACTTTAAATTTTGTACTTATACATATACCGGTTCGGTCCAAAACCGGTTCACTTCCCTGGTTTTATTTACTGTTTACGTTTTTATTTATTTTTTTGTTTTAAATGGCATATAAATTTAGGTTATTTGTTTATTTTATTTTTATATAATTTGTGTTTATTTTTAGT